TTGCTTTAAGGCATCTATGATCAATGAGAACCATTGCTGCAATGTCTATCTGAAAATGTAGAATGACCAGGAAGAAAAGGCAGGCCTTTTCCTGTTCTCTTCTCCCCCATCCCCACCCCCAAAGCCCCTCCTTGTCTCATCCAGCTCTTGCTCCCCTCTTCCCCATCCTCTGCCTTCTTTCTTCTCCTCCCTCCTTTTTAAAAAGGGTTGGAGGTGGGGGCCGGCAGATAGTGTGGTGCTTAAGGTGCTGCACTCCCACATGGCCCACTGTGATTCGAGTCCCAGACCTGGCAGCTTGCTTTCTCACTTTCCCTTTCTCTCTCTCTGTCTTTCTCTGGTGAAATCTGAAAAAATAAAATAAAACAAATAATTATTTAAAAAAAAAGGGGGTGGGGGTTGGAGGTAAAGTAGACATAGGATGATTATATAGAATTGGATGACTCTTAGAGGAACAAAAAGGGGAATTGAAAAGTAGGGATAGTTTCATCCCATGCAAGGGGATAAGAAAGGACATCAAGCTTAGGAACCACTCCCTCAACGGAAGAACCGGGAAAGGAAGGTGAGTCAAAGTGCCCTGGTAGGAAGAAAGGGGAAGACAGGTTAATTCCAGGCACATGTTGAACTAAGCCACTATGGACGGGAAAGCTAGGAGCCCGCCACGGTTGAAAACCACAGATCTGAAGTCCACATCAATTTGTTTGGAGGGCTGTGTATAGTGCTGGTGTGTTAAAAGAATGTCCATTGTTTTTCTTTTTCAGTAATTAATGGTCACACATTGTGTTTGCGGCTGTTACTAGAAATTGCAGACAACCCAGAAGTGGTTGATGTGAAAGATGCCAAAGGACAGTAAGTGTTGTCAAACGAGGCCTCGGGTTGACATTTCATTCACAATAGGTAATTGGTTAGTTGGTTAAATAGCTGAGAGTGCTGACTGTTGAATTTTAGGTGGGGGTATATATATTTGGGAGAAGTTAGTGAGTTAAACCACTGCATAATGCAGTGGCTTTGTCTAGGTGGCTTTGTGTTTTTCACTAAGAAAAGCCTGCAGGGTGAGTGCATATCTTGACAAAAAAGATCACTTTTTTTTTTTTGGTAGTTGTGGCTGGATTTCCTGGCTCTTTTTTATATTCTCTTTGTTCCCTCTTTTACTCATTGTTTAGCCTCCTCTGAAGCTACTATGATACATTCCTTCTCTCGCTTTTAAATGATAGCAAGAAACAGCGAGAAGAGAAGCACCCTTAACGGGATCTTCTCCATCACAATCCCTTTCCCCAGCCCTCCAACTCCTTGGAATCCTGAGTGCCCACACACACCTCCACCAGATTTTCAAGCCACCTTGCGAATATGAACTCACAGTCAGCCATATGACTTCCGGCCTTGCAGGGCACTTGTGTCACTAGTGTGTGCCACAACTGCTGGGTCCCCATTTTAAAATTAATGAAAGAAGTTACCTCCAGCACTAAAATCCTTCACATTTATATCCTTCTTCAAGTTTGTTTTTTCTAAGTATATTCCATCTGTTGACCTATTCTCCATCCAATCTTCTCTTAGAAATTGGAAATACAGGGACCAGCAGTTAGTGTAATGGCTATGTTGCTAGACTCCCATGTAGCCGACTGGAGTTCGAGTGCCAGACCTGGTGGCTTAAACTCACGCTGGGAACATGTGTGTGTGTGTGTGTGCCCAAGATCCCGAGAGGAGAATGGAGGAGAAGGGATTGCAGCATGGCTATCCCCCCTGGGGGGTGATTTCTCGCTTTCTATCTCTCTGTCTCTCTCTGTCTTTCTGGAGAGTGTACACACCCTATAGCAAAAACCTCTCAAAAAAAAAAAAAAAAGGAAATTGGAAATACGGAGTTTAAAAGTACTAGTGACTAGATCCTGGTGTGTGTTAGTGTCAGAGGCAGAACTAGAACCTAAGCTCCTGGATCCCAGCCCCCTGTTCTTTCCCCTAGACTTGTCAGACTTTGCTTAAGGCAATGAAGCTTTGTTCCTATGAAATATTGAGCAGAAGTCCAACATAGAATTTTCTGAAAGCAGAGCTACTCTGACAGAGGCAGGAGGGTCTCCTACATACACACTCTCTATCAGATTGATAGTAAAGGCTACATAGTTCTGAAAATTATGGAATTATGAATATTTTGAGAAAGAACCTCCCGCTACCCTACCCCTGTGGATCATTCCAGCAACACCATTCCACAGGGCCACCAGAGCAGAGGAGATAGCTTGTTCCACATTGCATGTAGCAAATTTGGGACACTAAGAAAAATGTCATGCAATTGTCAAAAGTAAAAAGATGAAGCTGTCTCCCCACCGGAAATGAGGAGTGTTTTCTAAATCTCTATTATTAAAGCCTGATTTATCTGTCTCTCTAGAACCCCACTGATGCTTGCAGTAGCATATGGACATATCGATGCTGTTTCATTGTTACTCGAAAAGGAAGCAAACGTAGATGCTGTTGACATTATGGGATGCACAGCCTTACACAGAGGGGTATGTACCTCTTTATCCACTTTGGGCAAGCAATCCTTCCATTGCTTTGGGCAAATAATCCTTTTTTCCTCTTTTCTTCCAATATGAATTCTTGGTAAAAAGGTTGTTTTCTAAAATAACCAATTAACCTCAGTCAGTCAAAAAGAAATTTAAAAACTCTTCTACATAGGTAAAATAGTAGGAGGTACTCTTAGGTCCTGCCCTTAAGATTTCCTGTTAGACTGTGATAATAGATACATGAACACCTACTGTTGGTGGAATTGGTTATGTTTTCTCATCGCAAAATACGTGTACATCATAGTACATTTGCAAAATGGTTTTTTTATGGCACAGAGAAGAAAAACACAATCACCGGTAATCACACCTCCTGGAGATAGCTACTTTTTAGTGTATTATATAGGTTCATTAATTTTTTTCGGTATATACATTTGTTTTAAAATTTAAAGGGAGAGAATACTGAAGATGCTATTTGGAGTTTGATCTTTTCCTCTTGCTATATCAGGGACTTTTTTTCCTGTCATTCAATTTTTTCCCTTCATTATCATGTTTAAGGCTCCATTGTGAGCAGGTGCATCATTTATTTCAGTGATTACTTGGTTTTGAGTAGTTGTGCTATTCAAATTGCTCTTTGTAGAGCTGAAACATGTATCCTGTGCATAATTCTTTGAATACATATGCTCAACTTTTTTTTTTTCTTTTAGGTTTCTGTCATAGGGCACATGCACTTTCCAGAGAGATACAGTGAGAGGGAAAGTGAGAAATCACGCACTTGTGGGGATGGCCACACTGCAATCTCTTCTCCATTACCCTCTTGGGATTTTGGGCAGGCACACATACATGCCTGGCGTGATTTTCAAGCCATCAAGCTCGGGATTCAAATCACAATCAGTCATGTGGGAGTCCAGAGCCTTAACCACCATGCTACCTGCTGGCGCTATGCTGAACTTCTTTTTAAAGCATGTCATATAAATGAAATGTAAAAAAGCAGAAATCACATAATAGCCATTTGGGGATGGTGCCAGATACCCTGATAAATGAAAAGAGGAGAACTATAAAGTCATTGTCATTATGTTATTAATAGTTCTTATTTCCTGGGCAGTTCCTATAGGCTGTGCAACAGGCTGAAAGCCTGTATGTGTATTATCTCAGTCTTCACAACAGTCCGTGAGGTCAATATTATTATTCCTATTTACAGATGAATATAATGAGGCACAGAGAAGCAGACTGGCCTAACTTTTACAAAAGAGAACCAGGATTTAACTTACACTCTCCTGATTCTAAAGCTGATGTGTCCCACTGTATCATGGCACCTCTCATGGCTATATTTCCATAATGCTTTTCTGTTCTGACTTTTGCTGGGGTGTGTCTGGCCTCCACCCTCTGACATATGGCAGAGTCTGCTTTCCTTAAGACCCAGGCACATGTTCACTTACTCAGAGCCCTGCCTCAGCCAACCACGTTGCTTCCTGAGTCTTCTGCCCTTCTGACATCCGTTTTGTTTTTAATTGCAATGCATCAGATTATGACAGGACATGAGGAGTGTGTGCAAATGCTGCTGGAACAAGAAGTGTCAATTCTCTGTAAAGATTCCAGAGGGAGGACGCCCTTGCACTATGCGGCCGCTAGAGGCCATGCCACGTGGCTGAGCGAGCTGCTTCAGATGGCTCTTTCCGAGGAGGACTGTTGTTTCAAAGATAACCAAGGCTACACGCCACTGCACTGGGCTTGTTACAACGGTGAGTTGCTTGTCTGACTGATTCCTACTCCAGGACCACCTGGGACCTGAACAGAATTAAGAACATAAAGTAATGCTGTAAACCATGGTTTCCAAACTTTGTGCAACCAAGATACTTTTTTGTGAGTTTTTGATGGTTTGCTGAACAGTTCCTGCACTCCCCCATGGACCGTGATACTTTGAATAAAAGTTCACTTTTCTCCTTTTCGTTAATCAATAACATGATCAGAACTTTCGATGAACTGAAATAACCAATTTTGATCAGGGTTTCTGATCTAAATAGCATAACCAGGAGAACCACAAAGAATTCAAATAATATAGTTAGAAAGACTCAAAGATAGATAATATAATAACCTGTCATAATCGATTGCTTGTACATGCGTGATTTATCTTTTGGCATTTTTTCTCTTTTCTTTTCTTTAGTTTTGCTGTAGGGCCTGTGTGCTCACCAGAGACAGAGACAGACAGAGATAGAGGGAAAGTGAGAGAAGTCACCCCCCAGGAGGGATGTGGCCACTCAGCAAACCTTTCTCCTTCATTCTCTTCTCAGGATTCTGGGCACATGCCCAGGGCGATATTCAAGCCACGGTGTCTGGGATGCCAGCCACACAGTCGGCCATGTGGGATCCGGCCACCTTGAACTTCACACCACTTGGTGCCCCAGAATTTTTTTTTCTTTTTCATATTCCCCATTGCACTTATTATTTGGAAGATCTTAAATTTTTATTTCACTTATTTGGATTAAAAAAATGCATGCTGGGACCAGCAGTTGGCATAATGGCTATGTCACTGGACTCCCATGTGGTCGACCACAGTTTGAATCCCAGACCCGGTGACTTGGGCTCACACTGGACACGTGTGCATGCGTGCCCAAGATCCCAAGAAGAGACTGGAGGAGAAGGGATTGCACTGTGGCCATCCCCCCAGAAGGTGATTTCTTGCTTTCTGTCTCTCTGTCTCTCTCTGTCTTTCTCGTGAGTGCACGTGCCCTATAGCAAAAACCTCTCCCCCCAAAAAAAAATATTTTACCAATTCAAAAATACTGAAGTATCTGAAATAAGATTGTTTCCATTTCCCAGCCCGCTTTCTGATGTAATTTGGTGTGTATTTTTATACATTTTCTTTGAGAATGTGCACGTGCCCTATAGCATGTGCATCTGTTCTTTTTTTTTTTTTTTTTTGAGAGATTTTCACTATAGGGCGCGTGCGCTCGCCAGACAGACAGAGAGAGACAGAGAGACAGAAAGCGAGAAATCATCCCCCAGGGGGGATGGTCACGCCGCAATCCCTTCTCCTCCATTCTCCTCTCGGGATCTTAGGCACGCACGCACACGCGCCCGGCGTGAGTTTTAAGCCACCGGGTCTGGCACGTGAACCGCGGTCGACTACGTGGGAGTCCAGCGACATAGCCATTACGCTAACTGCTGGTTCCCTGCATCTATTTTTTGAAACCAAATTTATATAACAAATGTCATTCTATAAGCTTTCTTTTATTGTTGGAATTTACTTAAAATTGTGTTGCAGATAGCCTTATGAATGTGTGTCAATATAGATTGACTTGACCATTTAAAAATGATTATTTTTTTAACTTTATTTATCATCGTTATTATTTTTTAATTTGATACAGGCACCCACTGGAAAGAGAGGAAGAGAGATAGGGAAAGTAAGAAAGCAACTCACCAGATCTGGGACTCAAACCGTAGTCAACCATGTGGAAGTCCAGAGCCTCAACCACCATGTCACCTGCTAGCCCTAGATTGACCTCTTTAATAGTTTAATGATACTTACAGCTGAAAATACACTAGAATTTACTATTTCTTCAACCATATCCCTGTTAGTGGACATTCAGATTGAATTAAGGTCTTTTTTTTTTTTTTTTTGGAGAGATTTTCACTGTAGGGCGCGTGCGCTCGCCAGACAGACAGAGAGAGACATAGAGACAGAAAGCGAGAAATCACCCCCCAGGGGGGATGGTCACGCCGCAATCCCCACGCCTCCACCATTCTCCTCTCGGGATCTTGGGCACGCACGCACACGCGCCCGGCGTGAGTTTTAAGCCACCGGGTCCAGGACACGAACCGCGGTCGACTACGTGGGAGTCCAGCGACATAGCCATTACGCTAACTGCTGGTTCCAGGTCTTTTTAAAATTATAAACAGTGCAGCAGTGTGTGTGTTCCTATTATGTATGATTAGTTCTGTCAGGTAAGTTTTCAGGCATGAAATTATTGAGTAAGAGGGCACATATTACTTTGTAAAAAGGATATTGTAATTTATTACTCCACCAAATATGTGCATAAAAATTACAATTTTCCCACACGCAGGCCAGACCATGATAATAACACTGTTGTTTATTTTTGTTCATTGGAAGGGCAAGAACAAAAGATATCTCCTTGTTTTCATTTCTGTTTCCCTATCAGATTATTTCTTGGATGCTGTGTTTCTTCTGGAAGTTACCTTTTCCCATCCGTTGTTTTTTGTTTTTCCTATTGAGTTATCTTTTCTCACACATTTGTAGGACCACCTTGTCTTAGTGGCAGGGCTCCTTTTCGAATGATGTGTGCTGCAGCCCTCCCGCCCCCCCCAGTTGTTATATGTTTTCTCATGGAGAGATTTTGAGTTTCTTCGTAGTTGAATCTGTCAGATCTTTCTCTCATGGTGTCTAGATTTCTAGTTTTGCCTAAAAAGATCTCCTAATCCTAAGATTATTTTTTGTCCCACTGGTGGCACGCTGATTAAGGCCTCTGGGTGCCACATGGCCAACCGCACAGTTCAAGTCCCAGACTTGGTGGCTTGAAAAATATGCCAGCCTCATGTGCTCATGTGCCCAAAATCTCAAAGGGAGAGAGAAATGGAGAAGGGACTGTAGTGTGAGAGGTTGCTTTCTTGATTTTTCTTTCTCACTCTTTCTCTTTCCAGCAAGCACACCTACCTTCTAGCAAGTTTAAAATATATTTTTGTCATTTTTTTACTTTGCATCTAAAATTTTATTTGTCATTTCTAATTCTCTATTAAAAATTTTAATTTAGAAACTTGTGATTATTAGTTCCATAAAGGTTATTCTTTTGTACTCTAATTATATCTATTTAAAACCTTTCATTATTTATTTGTTTGTTTGTTTGTTTGTTTATTGGGGAAGTTTTCTGGGCACATGTGCTCACCAGAAAGAGAGAGAGACAGAAAGCAAGAAATCACCCCCACCCCAGGGGGGATGGCCATGTCACAATCTGTCTCCTCCATTCTCCTCTTCAGTCTCCTCCAGATCTCCTCTCAGGATCTTGGGCATGCACGCACATGCGCCTGGCTTGAATTTAAGTCACCGGGTCTGGGACTTGAAGTGTGGTTGACCACATGGGAGTTTAGCGACATGCCATTACACCAACTGCTGGTCCCCATTATGTTTTTATTGCAGTTCTTTTCACTGGTTCTGTCTTAACATGAGTCAAATTTTCTACTTTTTCAACTTGTGTTTGCTCCCTCTCTGTCATTGGAGGACTGTAATTTTCCTTTTTTTCCAACTAATGCATGATGGCTCCCTGATCTTTTTTGGGTCAAGTTCTGAGATCTTTCTGTCACCCAGAGAAACTACAGGAGGGGGAAATGCAGTAAGATGTTGATTATAATGGCAAATGCAAACCTGCCACAGACCACTTCTCTTACTTTAGGTAGAGGTGGGAGGTCTCTCTGTCTTTAGGCCACTCCAGGTACAAGTAAGAGAAGAATAACCTTCCTCTCCTAAGCCACTCATCCTTCCAGTGCAGCCTTCCTCTAGATTCAAGGCTCAAGCTCTGATCTTCCCAGAATCCCACTCGCAGGGCATTTTGTAATATCTAAAGTAATTCAATGATCCCCAGCCCTTCCCACACAGATGCTCAGCTTGGTAAGGAAGGTATGTGTAGATGCTACCTTAAGCTAGATTCTTTGGGAGATTCATACTGAAGGTGTCTGGGACTATTGAGTGAGGGTTGGACGTAGCTGAAAAGCTAAGTATAATTGCCTAAGGCCAAGGGGCTTTTTATATTCATTACTTCCTAAGCTTTTAACCCTCCTAAAAGCAGTATCACTTTTTCTCTTTTCAGGTATAAAAAAGGTTTGATTTATATTTTAAAACTTCAATTTGTCCAGTCTACCTCATTCTGAGGTAGAGCATAAGGAAGTTTGTTGTAACTTAGCACCATGTTCAGTCAACAATAGGTTCCAGGACAACAAATAGCAGTCCCTTCCTGCCTCACAAGCATGCAGTGCTTTGCAGACCATGTTTAAGTCCTTTACTGAGTCAAGCTCCCTTCATCCTGTGACATAGGTAGGACAGGTATTCCTAGTCTGAGTTTAAGTATGTGAAAAAGAGACTCTGAGATCCCAGGTAAACTACCTCTGATTCTGTAATAAATAAATTGACAGAAATTCAGTTGACTTAGAGACCACCTATCATTTTGCTAAAAATAGTTCCCTGACTTCATTCATCCACTTTTGGGACCAGCAGGTGGCATGGTGGTTAAAGACTCTGGATTCCCACATGGCAAACCATGGTTCAAGTCCTGGACCTAGCAGCTTGCTCTCTCGCTTTCCCTCTCTCTCTCTCTCTGATCAAACTGAAAAATAATAATAATAGTAATAAAAATAAAGTTAAATAAAATATATTTTTAAAAAGAATATATTTTGAGAGAGACAACAGGTGGCATAGTGGTAGGGGCACTGGACTTTCACATGGCCGACCATAGTTCAAGTCCCAGACTTGGTGGTTTGCTTTCTCACTTTCCTTCTCTCTCTCTCTGGTCAAATTAAAAAATAATAACAATAGAGAAAATTAAATAAGACAATTATTTTAAATATGTATTATATATAAATATGTAAATATTACAGACACATACAATATATGAATATATATATATATATATATATATGTATGTATATGAGAGAGAGAGAGGGAGAGAGAGAGAACCTGCTATGTGCCAGAAACTGTTCTTGGTGCCATTTAAAGCAGTATATGTTATTTTATAGTCAAAATCATTATGCATCATCTCAAATACTGCTTTCTACTAATCACATCTTCTCCCTATTCATAGGGTGCATAAGTGTAAGTGAACCTGTTTCAGTGGGCAGAAGATGTATTTCCTGTTACAAATATGGACAAACTATGTTGCAAATTTAACTGTTAGGACCTGAGTGTAGCATAGACTCTATTCTGCTTGCAAGTGAGGTGTCTTCTCTATCTCTCTTCATCAAACCATATGGCCTTCAGTGTTTTATTTGTTTATTATGTCTCCAAACACCTGTGAACATAGTTAATAACATTTCGGCATTTTGTTAATTTAATTCCACAGAGAATAAACAGCCAGTTTAGGAAAATTCATAAGCCAGAATTGTAATGAAAAGAACATTTTATGTTGAATAAAGTTTCCTTCTTGGAAATTGTCTAAATTCCTTTGATTCCTTGCAGGTAATGAAAACTGTATAGAGGTACTTTTGGAACAAAAATGTTTTCGAAAATTTATCGGTAATCCCTTTACGCCACTGCACTGTGCAATGTAAGTAACGCTGGACATTAATAGTGTTGCTTTAATTCTTCTCATAACATGTGGAGAAATTGCCTTTTAGGGAAGAAAAAGCAATCTTTTAGATTACAGATAAGACTAAAATATTCCATTTGCTACTAAGGACAAATAGGTCTCATAGCATAGTATGGTCCCTAATGTTAATCATTTTCCAGGGGCTCTTGGTGAGGTGCCACAGAAACCACACGGTGAGCTGAGGTCCCTTACACATGGTGTGAAGAACGCTTCAGGTGTAACTCACATTTTGTCTGCCAGATTCTAAAAATCAGTCAACATTAACAACAATATGCCTATAAATAGCTAGAAGGGCATTTTATACTGGGAAGATGTTTCATTTCTTGTAATTTTCCTTTTTTTCATTTAGATCTTTGATTTGACTACTGTATACTGTATACATGTTTCTAATAAAGCCATACTGTACCCCACAAAGATATACAACAATTCTATGCAAGTCAGAAATTACATTAAAGATACAGAAAATATAAAACAAACAGAAAGGCAAGGAAGTGTAAATGATAAAGGCTTGGAGTGATTTTAAATCTGAAGGAACCATGTCTTCTGCACTTTGGAATCTCCAGAACACCTAAAACGGTGCTTTGTACAAGTGGTATGCAGTGAAGTTCCTACCCAGAGGTAGAGGTGCTGAGGCTACAGAGTATGCTGGGGATTACAGCATGTTTGCCCTTGCCACAAATATTTGTCACCTTATTTTAAAAATGCATCAGAATATTACATATACCCGGTATAGGAAGATAGGAAGGAAGAGATATATAATATCTTAAAAGGCAAGATTTTCACTCTAAAATCCATTTTCATTTTAGAATAAATGACCATGAGAATTGTGCATCATTGCTACTTGGGGCCATAGATTCCAGTATTGTCAGTTGTAGAGATGACAAAGGCAGGTAAGTGATCTTACGATGGCATGCCTTCCATCTTGATGAATCGTAGTCTATGCTTTGAGATTGCAAAGTAGCCAAACCTCTATGCTGAAAGAGTACTACATACTTTTTTTGTTTATGTTTTTGTTTTTGCCAGAGGGTGCATGTGTTCACCAGGAGAGACAGAGACAGGGGGCTTCAGTCATGGCCACAATCCCTTTTCCTCTACTTCTCCTACTTGTCAGGATTTAGGACACACACACACACACACTCACACCTGGCATGTTTCTCAAGTGTCCAGGACTGGAATTTGAATCATGATCAACCACGTGAGATCCAGCTCCTAATGCACCATATTTAATTACTGTGCTATGGGGCCAGCCCAAGCATTTTTAAAATTAAATATTATAAAAGATACATAACTAGACACCAGTACATGGCATAGTGGTTATATCACTGGACTCCCACATGGCTGACCACAGTTTGAGTCCCAACCCAATAGCTTGAAACTCACACTGGGCGTGTGTGTGTTCAGTGCCCAAAATCCTGAGAGGAAAATGGAGGAGAAAGGATTGCAGCATAGCCATTCCCCCTGGGGATTAATTTCTCACTTTCTGTCTCTGTCTCTCTCTGTCTTTCCAGCAAGTGCATGCACACTATAGCAAAAATCTGTCTTAAAAAAAAAAAAGGAAAAAAAACACAGATATATAACTAAAAGAAATTTCCCTTTTAGCCTAAAATCCCCAACTTTTTCCACAGAGAAAGCTACAATATACTGTTCTTTCCAAATTTTTATATTTGCCTAAATATTTTCTATGTGTAACTACAAACATGCATGTAAATATATACAGATATATTCTTTTTATATAAATAGTTTTCTATAACAATGTTCTGTTTTTACTATACCCTGGAGATTTTTCCATGCAGGCACATATAGATTTACCATATTCTTTTTCAAGCTGCCTATTATTTCATTGAATGGATATTCACTGAGCCTGCCCTCTATTGAAGAATATTTTAGGTTGTTTCCAATATGTTGCTGTTTCAAAGAGTAGTGCAGTGAACCTTCTTATGTATATATTTAAACATGTGAGCTGCTATATTTAGGAGATAACCTTTTCGAAGTGGAATTACTTGTTTATTAGTTTTAATTTTGATAAATAAAACCAACTGTCCTACTAGAGAAATCAACCATCCACACTAGATGATGTGGGCTTTTAAATTTTATTTATTTGGCCAATTGCTTGCAACTTTAAGGCTTTATTTTTAAAGTATTTATCTCAAAGATGAAAGTTCAGTCACTGGAACTCAATTTGAAAGATACAATTTCATTATCAAGGCCACCACCCTCACCCCCAAATCCAGTGGATGCCATTCACATAGGTGACACTTCAGTGATCATCCTAGATGGCTTTTAGCGATGGCCTGTTCATTATCTCTTAAATCCTTAAGACAACACCGGGCACGTTTCTTTGGCATTGGAAAGTGAATGGGTTAAGGAAACCAAATTCACATTCATTTTAAATCTGTAGGACACCCCTTCATGCCGCAGCGTTTGCTGACCACGTGGAGTGCTTACAGCTTCTTCTGAGACATAATGCTCAAGTGAACGCAGCAGACAATTCAGGGAAAACGGCATTGATGATGGCTGCGGAGAACGGGCAGGCGGGTGCTGTGGGTATGTACCTGCAGATGGACTTTGTGTGTATGCCTATCCCAAACCCAAAATAATGTAAAACCAAGAAACCAGTTGTCCTGTAGCATCTACATGTGCGAAGAGTCTACTAATAGTCTTTCTTAAGACCCCCCCCAAACTGTACTTGCTAACTGGCTACAGTTTCCTGTTCATTGGTGGACCTTGTCAAAGTAAGCCCACCTTTCTCAGCACTTAGAAACCAAGAGACAATGGAAATTATTTCTGTCCCCTTTGGATTTGGATCAAACAAATATGGCAACAAATTGTTCCTTTTCCTCTTTAAAAACATTAACTATATTTGGGTAAGCTGTACTAATTTAAGTGTTATTGTTTGGGTGGTAACTTCTTCAAAATGCATGTGTTTAGCCTCTATCTAATCTAAGTAACCCTCTTTTGACTTTTTCTATAGATATTTTGGTGAACAGTGCCCAGGCTGATCTGACTATAAAGGATAAGGATTTGAATACACCCTTACATCTGGCTAGTAGTAAAGTATGTAAATGATATAAAATGATAAAACATTGTTATCTAATGTTGCAATAATAATAATAGCTGTAATACCACTGAAATGCTACCTCCGAAGTGTATAGCATGGTTCTTTTTTTTTTTTTTTTTTTTTGAGAGGTTTTTTACGCTATAGGGCATGTGCGCTCGCCAGACAGACAGAGAGAGACATAGAGACAGAAAGCGAGAAATCACCCCCCAGAGAGGATGACCACGCCGCAATCCCTTCTCCGCTCGGGATCTTGGGCATGCACGCACATGCGCCTGGTGTGAGTTGTAAGCCACTGGGTCCAGGACGCGAACCGCAGTCAACTACGTGAGAGTCCAGCAACATACCCATTACGCTAACTGCTGGTTCCCTGTAGCATGGTTCTTAATTAAGGTGTTCATCTTCCCAAGATGGTATCAACTGTCAGTGGAATCCACGGGGTGGAAGGAAGGGCAGGACCCACCAAGTTGAGGAGGACATGCTTTCATGGCATTTGCCACTTGTATTTTTCTGCGACCTGTCTGTCTTGATGCAGGCACTGTATCTCTCTCTCCCCCCAGTTGCAGTACCACATTTTGGCACTCCATAATAAATTTGGATCTTAGTTATATGTCTTCTAAAAATATAAGCAGTTCCATTTATTTTCATTTGTTCCATTTTGAAGGCATTATAATAACACAACCAAAACATACTCTTCTGAGAAGCAAATTAGTATATCTATGTGCATTTCTACTCTCCTGCATTTTTTTAAAAGATTTTTCTGCCATAGGGCATGTTCACTCACCAGAGAGACAATAAGAGAAAAAGTGATAAATCATCTCTTTGGGGAATGGCCATGCCACAGTCCCTTCTCCTCCATCCTCCTCCAGGGATTTTGGGTGCACACCTACAAGTGCCCAGCTGTCAGGTCTGAGACTCAGACTGTGGTCAGTCATGTGAGAGTGCAGCACCTTAACCACCACGCCAGCTGCTGCCCCCCTTCCACCTTTGTTCTGTTGCGTATTTCAGTTCAAGGAATGTGTATGTGTGTTTTAATAGCATGGTGTTCACACATTGCTTAAGTTCCTTCTTCCATAAAAGATAAATGATATATACATAAAAATATGATTTTACAAAAGTGGGATCACACTGTTTTATAACCCAGTTTTGTTACCGAATCATATATTATGAATGTCTTTCTTTTAGACATCATGCTTCATGGTGTTTTAGAAGATGTGTGGCATTCTATCTTAGGAATGTAATATCTCTTATTGTTACAACTGTTTTTCAACTGCATGCTACTCCAAATAATCGTCATTCTAGAGGAATCTTGTTTTTAGGAATTTTTACCCATTCCTTTAAGATAAAGTCCTAAACATGAAATTATTGAATTTAAGAATAACATTTTACAAACCAAATCACCCTCTAGTAGGGTATCAACAGTTTCCACCACCCCCCCCCCAGCAGTACGTCCAAACAAAACCTCCATGGACAGTCCTAAACTCTACATTTACAGTCTCCCACACAAGACGGTAGAGTCCAAAACCAGTGAACACCAGTGATGGCGATTCATTTCAACCTAGTTATAATATGGAAGGTGTTACCCCACCCAGTGATACCAGCAGTCCCATATGCTCCTTTTACTGGTTACATTTTCTTACTTCATGGTCTGGGAAGCCCATGGAAACCACAAACCAAAACTAAACTAAACTTAAAAAACAAACAAACAAACAAACCCTCACATTTCATGAAGCATATTTCAAAGTGTAATATTTTAGAGAATGTAAGTGCAGTGCTTTTCAACCATTCCTGCACAGACAAAGCACCTAGATTTTGTTAAAATAAAGATTCTGACGTATTAAGTTGGAACTGAGATTCAGCGTACCTAATGTCCAGGTGATGCTGAAGCAGCTGATCTGCCAGCCACTTCTTGAACAGCAAAGATTTAGGAAGCCATAACCCGTAAGAGGGCACCAGGCCTAAAGTCATCAAAGGATCTCTGACTTATCGATTGATTTTTAAAAAGTGATTGACAATCCATTGTCTTGAGATACAGAGATACCTTCCCCTGGTTGAAGAAGAAAAGGATGAGTTTTCCTGAAATAGGGTCTCTTCACAATTATAAGGCAATGAATGATGATGGATGACACAGATAATAGGTGTAATGGGGATTCCAAGGATAAATGGGTTACTGAAGTGGTAATTGAAAGCTTGAGCAAGGAAGTAGAATTTGATAAATGTTTAAAACGTATGTTAAAGATTTAACAAATACTCCTAATTCTACTCTCTAGTTACCATCTGACCTACCTAAACTAGAATACGCTTTAGCTCCCTGAACACTACTTCTAAAATTTATCTTAGGAATACTAATATTTGAAATCAGACCTATGTTAATCAAGTCTTAATAGACTTGAATGAGCTTCCGAGAGTATCTGGGGCCCATTTGCTTTTAAAAGAAAGACAACGGCTCAGAAAATAGCCTTATAGAATGTTTTTAGGCAGAGGAAATTCATTTTCAACTTGAAATATAATCAAGTATCTTTTCAGGAACTTGTCTGGGTCTCTGTCCTGTGTTTCTTATCATACTTTTTCTTTACTAGGGTCATGAAAAATGTGCCTTGTTAATACTTGACAAGATACAAGATGAGAGCCTTATTAATGCAAAAAATAATGCACTGCAGACGTAAGTGTAACTCCTGGCATGTGGTTGTGACACAGCACCGTGGTCCTTTATTCAGCAAGTATTAAGAGCCTGCTGTGTACCCGGCCAGCACTGGGAAACGCAGTGGTCAGGGACGTAAGCCTGGCTTTGCCTTCATTGAGTTTACAGTAGAATATCTGCAAATGCTGACCGAGCGAGGCAGCTTTAGTTAAACATCTAATTTTGCTATGCCTTTATAGAATTTGGTGAGATCTGTGTTTTTCTTTGCTGATATTTTTGTGGTGATATAAATTGTGTGAACTGTTAGAAAAGTCTTATGGGCTTATAGATTGACATATTTGGGGAAACTGTATTATGTATTAGCATTATGTATTCTGACTGGAAACAAACAGTTTTATAAATCAGGTTCCCAGAATACATTTGAAGAGCTTCTAAGCTATTTGTCTTAATTATATTTTAATGTGATTCAGTGTAACCCTTGGTGTGAAAGATCTAAAAACGGCTGCACTTTCTGTTTTAGGAAATTAGTTTTGCATTTGTTTTAAAGTAAAAACATATTAAGAATTATTTTTCATTTGTGATTGTTGAAGCAATATCCTGACTTTGACTTATTCTTTTTTTTTAAAGAATTATTTATTTATTTAATTCCATTTGTTGTTATTATTTTTTAATTTGACCAGACAGAGACAGAGAGAGAGGAAGGAAGGGAAAGCGAGAAAGCAAGCTGCCAGGTCCAGGACTCAAATGGCTGTTGGCCATGTGGGAATCCAGCGCCCTTAACCACCATGCCACCTGCCAGCTCCTTGACTTTTTCTTTAAGGTGCTATAAATTCAGTAAAATATCTGTGGGCATTTAGTAATAATAAGGAGATTTAAGATTCTCTACTCTATGAGGGCCAGTTGGTAGCATGGTGGTTAAGGTGGCTGAATCTCACATGAGCAACTGAGCAGTTTGGGTCCCACACCCAGCAGTTTGAAAAAAAACAAACAAAACAAACACACCAGGAACGTGTGCACATGTGCTCAGAATCCTGAGAGGTGAATGAAGGAGAAGTCATTGCGTCCTAGGAGTGCTTTCTCACCACCTACCCCCGTTCTCTGATGAGCACATGCAATCTATAGCAAAAAATTAAAAACAAACAAACCAACAAACAAAATCCTTCCACAAAACATACCAGAGCTTGAGTTACCCTGTCTTTCTTTTTCCTGTTGTTGGGATAGTTTGAGATACAGAGTATTTATAATATCTACAGAGACGTCTCAGCCAAACATGTAAGATGTTAGGTTATTAGCATCTGGAAAAGATTTAGTCATCAAATATATTTTTATTTTTTATTTTATTTTATTTTTTGTTTGGTAGAGGGTTTGTGCCCTTGCCAGAGGCAGAGATGATGAGAAGTCACCCCCTGGCGGGATGGCCATACTGCAATCCATTCTCCTCCAATTCTCCTTTTGAGATTTTGGGCATACACTCAAGCACCCAGCATGTTTTCCAAGCTGCTGGGTCCAGAATTTGAAATGTGCACTCAGCCATTTGGGATCCTTAACCACTGCACCACCAGCTGGTCCTCTTTAAAAAAAAGTAAAAATATCTGGGTTGGTCCATGGCCTCATGGTAAAGGGAGCTGGATCCCACATGGGTGGCCATGTTGTTCAAGTCCCAGACTCAGCATCTTGAAAAACATGCCAGACTCATGTGCATGGGTTCCCAAGAACCTGAGGGGAAGGAAAAATGGAGAAGGGACTGTGGGGTGACCATGCCTCATGGGGGGTGTCTTCTTCCCCTCTCTCTATCGTCTCTCTATCTCTGTCTGATAAGTGCACACACCCTCTGGCAAATTAAAAATGAATAAATAAAAATTTAAAATAGCCATGTACTATGTGTAGATTCTCAGTAGTCTTTCTCTTAATGACACAACTAAACAAAATGCCACATCGTCACACAAACGTGTCACAACAGATGCTCAATGTTGTGTTTTTTAGACCCCTCCATGTCGCTGCACGCAATGGCTTGAAGGTTGTAGTTGAGGAGTTGCTGGCCAAAGGGGCTTGTGTACTTGCTGTAGATGAAAATGGTAAGTGGAAAAAGTAAACAGTTACTAAAGTTACCTTCCCCATGCTGGCTGAAGCCAGAAAGAAATGAGAAAGATATGAGCTAGTTAAAAAAGCAGTAAGAACTCTCTCTCCCTTGAAAGTTCCATGTTTGTTGAGAAGTCAAAGAAAGATAACTTGTCTTGTCTGTCTTTTTGTAAAACGCATAGTCTCCCTGTAGCCCACCAGTGCTGTCCATTTTGCATGTAACGTCAGCAGCTGGTCTGTAACTCCTCAATGTGGTGGTTAAAATATTTTAGACACTAAAAATGTTCAGGTTGGCATTTGGAATTCCAACCGCTTACACTGAGGACTTACAGATTATACATGTCATTAGTGCATGTTCAAGGGCTCCAGTGAAAACCTAGACCTTCGATTATATATCAGTTCATTCTGAGATCAAACCTCTTTTTCTTTTCTTTTTTCGTTTTTTAAAGTACAGATAAGAACTCATATCCCAGTATAGAAATTTGGAGAATATGAGTAAAACTTTAAATCCTTGTCTAGGCCTGAAAGCTTTTCCTGATCTACACAACATTGTTTTTCTAAATAAACTAATTCTTAACAGAAGCTTTCTATTCGGCTTCCTAAGAAATCCTGAAAGCTAATGAATGCTAGAATTATACCACACTACCATTCTAGCACCGTGCCTACTAACCTTGGGGAGCATAAGAGGAATTTCTGGATATTTACAAATGAAGCAATTTTTAAACTGTGGCATTAATTGTAGCATTTAATTTAAGTATTATAATGTATTAATGTAACTCAACTGCTTATTACAGGTATTGGAATTAGCAGCTCATGCCTATTTCTCAGAAGTAAGCAGCTATATTGACATCATTAGCTAACTCTTACTAGTTTTGGTTTTGCAGCCCCATTTATCCTAGCATGTACCCTGCCCTGTCCCCAACCTGACTCATCTAGGAAGCGCAGAAAGTGCTCTATTACTCCATCTCCTTGGTTTTTCCACCTCACCTTCCCTCCCCTTCTTATCACCTCTATATCTCTATATACCTTAGGGTTGGCATACAGAGGCCCACAGCTTTTCTGCAAAATGACTGAAGAGACCAGAATAAATGGGTTTTGCCTTGTTCTGGTATAACTCTGCTACGTCGGAGGTTTATTCAGCTGAGTGACCTCCGGAACAAGAGCTCTGAGTCAGTGGACTTATAGCCTGTCTCAAAGCTTAGCTGTATCCCAAAAGCCTGGGAATATTTGCTATCAATTTTGTTCAGCACTGCAATCAAATATTTTTTAAGGGTTTTTTTTTTTTTTTTTTTTTTTTTTGCCATAGAGCACATATGCTCTCCAGAGACAGACAGTAAGTAGGAAAATGAGATATCATTTCCTCAAGGGGGATGGCCACACCACAATCCCTCCTCCTCCATTCTCCTCCTGGGATTTTGGGCATACACACACACATGCCTGGCATGATTTTCAAGCCACCAGGTCCAGGACTTGAACCGTGGTTGACTATGTGGGAGTCTAGCGCCGTAACCACTATGCCAGCCACCCACTGGCCCCAGAATCTAATTTTTAACTCATCACTGACCTTTGTGGAATGAAATATTAAGATACCTATCCATTTTTGTTTGTTTTTATGCCAGGAAGAATAATAATCTCCCAAAGAACAAGGAGAAGGGGGAATGGGGTGGGGTCAGGTCAAGTGATAAACAAAATAACAAAATACCAAGTTTCAGTGAGGCGGTTCCTCTGAGTAACTGAGTGCACCACTCCTGCGTAGGAGGAAATTTGGCCAGCGGAGGGGCTAACTATTTCGAGTCCATGGAATAAATGTTGGATAAAGATAGCAATTAAAGCAAAGAATTGATGAAGCACCTGTTCAGTGTTTTCTTATCTGGACTGGAAAATGGCACGACTGTGATTATGACCCCACAGCAATTTGCCCACTTCTGTTACCTTTCAGATTTGGGACATTGGTTGGTGGAGTGGCTATTTTCTTAAATTTTGTTAAACTTTCTTAAACGATAGTCAATGTTTAATTATAAATAACCAGTGTCTTACTGTGTCTGATCTACTCAAACGATTCCATTTTTCTAAAACTAGTTCACTGGTGTATACAGTATGTAAAGTGTATATAAAGTGACACTGTATTGCTCGCTTTAACTGCAGTCTAACTTTCAATATCCTTTCTAATCTGACACGCGATTACCTACAATGGAAAGTCATTGTTCTCAGAATGAGAGTACGGCTCAGGCCCAGACCTGAGGCTCATGGTGTGCGTGTGCTCCCAAGTGGAAACATCTTCCTGGTTGTCCTGTTGCTGTATTTCGTGGAATTGTGTCCCACCCCTCCACCTCATGTTTCTGTTCACTAGATGAAGGCTGGAATTCTGCCTAACTTCGGATAATATCGCGCTTGCTGTAGTCATGTGAGCTGAAAACAAAAACAAAAACAAAAAACCCTCCATAAAGTGTCTCCCCCTCCATCTCCCTTCTAGTCTGACCCCTAGCATGACTTGTACCTCTGGCATGATTTCTAACTCAACATACATCTCCGCTTGTGAGATCGTTCGAGATGTACTGTGGAATGCTCGCGCCTCCTCTGGACCTCCGAGGACTAACCTCTGCCTTGTCTGCATTTACGCCCAGGTCATACCCCGGCCCTGGCTTGTGCTCCTAACAAAGACGTGGCTGACTGCCTGGCCCTCATTTTGGCTACCATGATGCCTTTTTCTCCTTCCAGTACAATGACGGCTGTCAACTTCGTTTGTTTTAAAAAAGACAATTTGAGCAGGACGACCCTCTCCAACCTGGGTAGCATGGTTAGCCTGTGCAGTAACAACGTAGGCTCGGAGGATGGGTACAATGAAAATGATTCTGATTCGGAAACATTTTGACTTTGAACAGTAGAAGCTTTTGATCACCTGTATTGGAGAAAAGGAAAGAAGCTTGATTGCAAGTTCATGTTGTGTTTAAGCATTATTTGGGGCCCGAATTTCCAGAAACTAATAGAGAGAGGAATTAAACCAAGGGAAGACAGCTAGGTTATAGGGAAACTCATGCAAACGGGCCCCAATTTTGTTTTATTTCATGTTTTCCTTGGATCTAAGTTACTTCTGTGAAAGTCTACCTCTCATTTTAAGTAAGGAATTTTTTTAAAAAGTATTTACTTGTTTTTCTTTGGGGATAATGCAACTGAGAGGCAACTGTCTGCTATAAAGATTTTTTTTTTCATGTACTTGGCATGAAAAAAAAGTGATTTCTCAGAAGTATATCAATGTGACATTCCTATTCCCTGAGAGGGGAAGGAAGAGGTGGACGGGAAATGCTCCAAACCTCTTCTCACTTTTATGTTTACTTCCTCACTAGAAGCCAAAGGTAAAGGTGTTCATCTTCAGAAATAATGCCTGTAATTATCTTTTAAATGGATTCCAACAATGTATGTCCTCTCTGTAGTAAGCACTTAAATATCCAGAACTTCTTTCTGAAAATCTTGCTTAAAATTGCCAGATGAATTTAAAAAATTGAACTTGCTTTTATCATTTCACACAAATGTGGCACCCAGTGCTCCTCAGAAAAAGCCTGTGACTAATTTTCACGCTCATGTTTGAACTCAAATCTATCTAATAACATTTCAGGTGAAAATTATACTTGCACCACAACTTTGAGACAATGTGCAAATTTAATATGAAACTATGCTTTGTTAATTCATTCTTAAATCACAATACTAACTCTTTAAAAACATCAACATGATCAGTATTGCTCATCAGTAGTAAAGTGTTAAACGAGCTTCTCAGTCAAGGTCATGACAAATGCGTGAAAGTATGACTGCAAAGGGGAATGACAAAAGTGAACTCGGAAATAGGCAATATAGAAATTAAAGCCAATAACCAGTTGCTTGATGGTGAAATCAACATAGTGAATACTGTGTCTGCTCCCTCTGCCAAAGCTTCTAGGTCAAATGGACCCCGTTCCACACCTGGAACAGCTGTGCAAAAAGAAGAATGAGACTCTTTCAATTATGCACATACACATGCACACATATATGTGTGTGTTTATATACATATATATATATAATGTATGTAATTCATCAACCAGCTATGCGTGAGGACCAAAATGCTTCAGTCTAACATGGAAGAATTAAATTTTTTGTCTTCAAAATGCAAGTAAGAACTGAAATAGCTTTTCTACGGAATTAAAATGTAACCTTTTTGTGTACCAGTCTTTCTTGTATTTTATATTTCTTATGACACAAATTTCTAGTTGACAGCTTAACATTTGTAACTGATGATGTGTTGACCACGGCTTATTTTTTTGCCAAACTAGAGAAAATGTCCAGATACTTTTGATGTAAATGTGTTTATATTTATTTGAAATGA